CTAAAGTTTGAATGCTTTGTATTCCGAAGATACATAAAATACAGAATCCAGCAACATGTTTATTTTAAGCCCTTTACTAGACCTTTGAGAAATTGCTTGTTTAAAGTCTCCATCTTTTTCAAAACGGAAGTTATAATCAAAAAAACTTGGATAAGTAAAAATTTCATGAAAATTCTTCAAAATGCCTAGAACTCGGAAACCCTTGAGATTTGGCACCCAGTTCGGAACAAATGTCTTACCCATTTTCGACCCTATAACCAGTGGAATATGCTGTTGTATACCTTTCAGAATCACCCTGTATAGATTTTTAAGTGAATTCCAATAACTACTAATTATTTCTTATCTGAGAATACTTTAATTTAATAAAATTTTGGAGCTTAAATTTAATCTAATTGAAAAATGTATTTTTAAGCCTAACATTGCTTTTAACTGAATATTGATTCAAATTTTTAGTATAATATTTCTGGTATTAGATTTTTAGTATAATATTTCTGGTATTAGCTAGGTATTCTATAAGATTCAAAAGCTTAATTTCAGGTTTCAGGCTCAAAAGTTTTAATTTCAGGTCATTTATGAAAATTTAAAAAAAATTGCATACTTTCGGGGGCATAATATGAATTTTTATAATTTTCTTTAATTATTAGTAAATGTTGTGATAGAAATTTTTTTGTTTCCCGTAAATTGTAATTTTCTTATTGTATATATAGCTACTATGTACATAATTAAAAATTTACGGTATATTCAAAACTAAATACGATATTGTATTGTGTCGAAATTTAAAACTCCAAACTAATTAAAATTTTAAAAATTACTTTCTAAAATTGAACTTTATTGCATGTAAGAGTTGGAATTCACTGTCTGTTATTATTTTCAATATTTTTGAGCATAGTTGAATATATAAATTCCTTTTTTTTGTAAAATTAAGATTACTGTAATGCAGAAAAATAAAATATATTCAATTGCCCGATTTACGGCATCTTCGAAGTGTACAACTTGTACACATAATCTTGTATCGAGTGATGATGAAGATTTAAGTTTACTGTGTGACATGTGCAACAAACGAATTAATTTAAAATATTCAAAAATTATTAAGAAAATATATAAAACTTAAAATGAAAATGAATCAGCCCAATTTCATTGTCACATATGTGCGCCTAATTTTCACAAAAACTTATATACAAGAAGTTAACCTAAAAGTTACAGGAAGCAATAATAATATTCAATATGATACAATTATTTCCAAACTGATTATGCTGGCTAATGAGTTTCCGGAATTCAAAGATTCTGTTAGTTTTATTAATCTTGAAACAGCAAAAATTATGGAAATTGAAATTAACAGTGATTTTAAATACGAAAATACTTGAAAATTATCAATGTACTTGGAAGTATGGTAAGAAATGTTAAAGCACTTTAACAAAAGTGGAATTCGCAGCTATCAAAAAAATAACGTTTTTCGATGTATTTACTTTGATAATACGATTCAGCTATTCAACAATGCTAAAAAGTAACAAGTTGTAGGAAATTCAAAAATATTCAGTTTTCTTTCCTGGAAGAACAGAAAATTCCAGGTTTTAGGGAAAATTTTCAAATTTACAATATATTCGCTAACATTCGGGCTTACGTGATTTTTTCTGAACTACGAGTACTACCTCATTTTACTTGTTTTTGTTTTTTAACCTTCTTTCTCTCTTTTTCATTCGTAAAATATTTTAATAAGAATCTTAACAAACTGTAACCTTTTGCGGCTCTCTTTTTCATTTTAAATTACAATCTATAATTAATTTCAATATTTATATTTAAATTATTTTGTAAATGAATTTTTTTTTGTGAAAACTCTTCAAATCAAACAAAATTGTTGAGAACTAATTTTTGTTCCTTACATATACTTGCTTTAATTTCTATGCACTGTAAATACAATTCAAAAATTGGGTGAACATTGTTAAAGAACAAACTTTTAATTTTCTTACTTTGAAAATAAAATCGATGGAAAATTTATTATGGAACAATGAGTGGAAAGAAAAAGGATCTCATATTAAATTTAAAAATTAAAATATTGCTAGTATTAAAATAATAAATCTAATTATTTTCTTTTGAATATTTTTAAATACAGGAACAGCAGCAAAAAATCAGAAATTGAAATAAAAGTTTTGCATTATTTTAACACTTTAATATTAAACTTTTTGGAACTAGTAAAGTATATGAGAGTTTAGTAAAAGAAATGAGAAAAAAATTTTAAAGAAAAACTCACAAAAAAAGTGAAAAAATACTAAGAGCGAAACAGAAAAGAAAATGTCAAGGATTTATTCACGCTTTAATATTTAATTTTTTTTTTTATTATTATTTTTATTACGTGCTTTTATAGTGTTACCTTTTTTGACTAACAAATTATTTTTTGACAAATAAAAAAATTTTTTTTAGTAAATTTTCGCGTTTTTTATTTTTATTTTCATTGTACCCATACAAATGTATGTTCGAAGAGTATTATAAATTTGCCATACTGTTTGTAACGCTATAAGAAATAATCGTCTAAGATATAGAAATAAGTGTATGTCTTTGATCAGCATCGAATTCCGAATTTATTTAACCATGTTTTTTCATTTGCAAGTCTGTCCGGCGGCCTGTCCCAACAATAACTCAAGAACTAATTGAGCTAAACTCACGAATTTTTCAAAAATGGTGTACACTAGTAAATTTCGGAATGCTATTTAAATTGAATATCATCGAGGTAATGGTTCAGGTAAACGTTTTAAAAGCAAATATGGTAAAATTGGAATTATTTTCGGTAAAAGGTGTTAAAATATCATGAGCGCTTATTATAGCTACCATACAACTTTAAACATTATTTGAACAGATCTCAGAAATTATAGAATTTACAGTATTGAAATTGCATTATAGCTCTTATATTTGATTAAACTATAATTGAAATTTCTTGACTTGTGGTGGTAGCTGCTATACAAGTTCAAAAATCATTTGGTCTTATATTATTATAAAATTTTGCATAAACAAATAAAAAACGCATTAGTATACATGTAGAATAATATGAAAATTAACAAACAGCACCTAAAATCATTCATTTATACGGGTATCATTACGTTTACAGGGTCAATTCTACCTGTATTCTCGTTTTAAATAAATATCAAAAATAAATTAGTTATTCTTGTATTCCATAACTAACCAAGTAAAAACATTCGTTTATTTAATGAAATTAATTTTTTATTTTTTGTTTTTTTTTGTTTACATTTTGCTTTTTATAAAACTCATTATTTTTTTAATATTGACTTATTAAGCTTTATTTATATAATGTTGGTTTATCCTTCGCCTTCAAGACTAAATAAAATTTGAAAAATAAAAAAGAAAAAATAAAAATTTATGGTTGTGTGAACCCCAACTATAAGGAGTATATGTTGAATTTTATGAATTTTTTCCACAATACTTTATGAAAAAAAAAGTACAGTGGTTTCTATAAAAGAAAAACTTGGTAAGTCGAAATGTCCGTAAGTTTTCAGAAACAATTGAAATAAACATGAATTAAATTTTAATTAATCTTTAAAATTGGTTTTCATCTATGTTAATAGGAAAAGTGTCAAAAAATCTGCATGTTAAGGTTTTGTATTTTGTGTTCAAAAATTTTCCAATCATAAATTTGACCTTCTGAAATAAAATCAACTTAGAATTCTACAAAATGTTATTCCACTAAATTATTTAATTTTAAAATAATTAAATAAAATTTTTGGAAATTTTAAAAATAACCACAAATTTTAATTTAAAAAAAATTGTTACATTTAATTTTGTGTATTCAAAAGATTAATTCAAATTAATAATACCTATATAATAAAATATAAATTAATTTTTTTTAAATATTTTAAATTAAATACATAATTTATATAATATTAAAAAAAAAAAATAATAAATGCTAAGTAATTTAAGTGTTGGCATTTCCCTATTGTTAACCATGCTCAAGCACGATAATCTTTACAATGTGCTTTATCAAGTACGAGTTTTTTATATTCTTGTTGTAAAATTTCTCAAAGAATATAAAATATTTTGTGCATTATTATGCAAATACTTTCATTAAAATAAAAAATTTAATTAAAAAAATCTTAATTCCACATGAAATTTTTATGGTAATCGGTTAGGAAAGTAGCACATTTCTTTTTTCCTTGTTCGAATTGGAAAAAAAAAATCTTGTTAAATTATTTTCTTTAACAGGTAATGCAAAAAATTAGAATATCGTAATTACAACTACATACCCTTAGAATGAATGGTGATCGAATGGCTAATTAGAAATTTTTTGATGACAAGAAACCGTTATTTACGAAACTTCTACACCATTTAAGATAGAAAGCTGAAATCAAAGTAAAGATTACATGGAAATAGATCTTTAATAGAAATTTATTTCTGTAGAAGACAACAATTTTAACTATTAACACCCCCCACCTAAAAATTATAGATTCTGAAAATCTTAAATGTGCCGTTAATACGAGTATTGACTATTTATTATATCGAAAAAAGCAAAAATTTTTTAAATTTGGCAAACGCAGAAATGTAACGAAATATTTCGTCTGTCACAACACAACTGACTTTGACATTTACTTATATTAAAGTTAATAAGTGGCAGAAGTCTGGAGTTTACGAGATTTCGAAACACTTATTTATTATCTTGAAAAGAAATTTTTTTTTTCACGTCAACCCATATCCAAGTTATTGGTTCTATAAATAAGTAAAATTTTAATTTTCAGAGAATTTCATTTCCAAAACTACAAGCACTTCAAAAATTTTTGTAAAAGCAAAAGGCTAACGGTAACCGGCATACTTATTTATTTTTATTCACTTAATCGATGAATTCAACCATTTTCACATAATGTTCTGGCACTTTATAAATAATTTATAAATGAGTCAAATATAGCAAAAAATTAATTGAAACAAAGGACTCAAATTTTAATTTTAATTGAAAACAATTAATTTTATTATTAAAATTCCTTTTTTTCTTTCTTTTTCAGGCGGTCGGTTCATTAGGAAAAACATAAAAGCATAGGTGAGTTTCAAATAACTTGATCATTTAATATTATAACAATATAACATTTATAAAAAATTTACTAAGATTAACCAACCACGCATAATAATAAATCTTTTATTATTGTTCCTAGCCTAATAGTCGCGAACAAGATTGCATTTTTATTACATATTTGTTCTAGGGTTTTTTGAAACATGATATTTTAGGTGTTCTATGTTTCGTACACGAATAAAATAGCCTCTTCAGCTGCACAAATATTGTTGACCGTAAGAGAAGCTTGCAACATATATTTTAAATCCGGCCCATTCACAATTAACACTACCCCGTACGATTAAATTCGGGGGATGTTATTAGTAATATTTATAATATAAATAATAATAACAGTAAGTTCCCAAGCCCAAAAACCCCTCCCCAACCCGCACGGAAGGAGGCTTCTATTAATTTTTTACTATTATTATCATTATTAATTTTTTTTTAATTTTGTTTTTTATGTTTTTTTATATTTTTTTAAATAAATGCAACAAAAACTAAAGGAATAACACAAAAGCGATAAAATTTATATTATTAATAATAATAATAGTAAGTTCCCACGGCCAACCACCCCTCCCCAACCCGCACGCGGAGGAGGCTTCTATTAATTTTTTACTATTATTATCATTAAAAATTTTTTTTTATTCTTTTTTTTTTATATTTTTTTAAATAAATGCAACAAAAACTAAAGGAATAACACAGAAGCGATAAAATTTATATTATTAATAATAATAATAGTAAGTTCCCACGGCCAACCACCCCTCCCCAACCCGCACGCGGAGGAGGCTTCTATTAATTTTTTACTATTATTATCATTAAAAATTTTTTTTTATTCTTTTTTTTTTATATTTTTTTAAATAAATGCAACAAAAACTAAAGGAATAACACAGAAGCGATAAAATTTATATTATTAATAATAATAATAGTAAGTTCCTACGGCCAACCACCCCTCCCCAACCCGCACGCGGAGGAGGCTTCTATTAATTTTTTACTATTATTATCATTAAAAATTTTTTTTTATTCTTTTTTTCTTACATTTTTTTAAATAAATGCAAAAAAACTAAAGGAATAACACAGAAGCGATAAAATTTATATTATTAATAATAATAATAGTAAGTTCCTACGGCCAACCACCCCTCCCCAACCCGCACGCGGAGGAGGCTTCTATTAATTTTTTACTATTATTATCATTAAAAATTTTTTTTTATTCTTTTTTTTTTATATTTTTTTAAATAAATGCAACAAAAACTAAAGGAATAACACAGAAGCGATAAAATTTATATTATTAATAATAATAATAGTAAGTTCCCACGGCCAACCACCCCTCCCCAACCCGCACGCGGAGGACGCTTCTATTAATTTTTTACTATTATTATCATTATTAATTTTTTTTTAATTTTGTTTTTTATGTTTTTTTATATTTTTTTAAATAAATGCAACAAAAACTAAAGGAATAACACAAAAGCGATAAAATTTATATTATTAATAATAATAATAGTAAGTTCCCACGGCCAACCACCCCTCCCCAACCCGCACGCGGAGAAGGCTTCTATTAATTTTTTACTATTATTATCATTAAAAATTTTTTTTTATTCTTTTTTTTTTATATTTTTTTAAATAAATGCAACAAAAACTAAAGGAATAACACAGAAGCGATAAAATTTATATTATTAATAATAATAATAGTAAGTTCCCACGGCCAACCACCCCTCCCCAACCCGCACGCGGAGAAGGCTTCTATTAATTTTTTACTATTATTATCATTAAAAATTTTTTTTTATTCTTTTTTTTTTATATTTTTTTAAATAAATGCAACAAAAACTAAAGGAATAACACAGAAGCGATAAAATTTATATTATTAATAATAATAATAGTAAGTTCCCACGGCCAACCACCCCTCCCCAACCCGCACGCGGAGGAGGCTTCTATTAATTTTTTACTATTATTATCATTAAAAATTTTTTTTTATTCTTTTTTTTTTATATTTTTTTAAATAAATGCAACAAAAACTAAAGGAATAACACAGAAGCGATAAAATTTATATTATTAATAATAATAATAGTAAGTTCCCACGGCCAACCACCCCTCCCCAACCCGCACGCGGAGGAGGCTTCTATTAATTTTTTACTATTATTATCATTAAAAATTTTTTTTTATTCTTTTTTTTTTATATTTTTTTAAATAAATGCAACAAAAACTAAAGGAATAACACAGAAGCGATAAAATTTATATTATTAATAATAATAATAGTAAGTTCCTACGGCCAACCACCCCTCCCCAACCCGCACGCGGAGGAGGCTTCTATTAATTTTTTACTATTATTATCATTAAAAATTTTTTTTTATTCTTTTTTTCTTACATTTTTTTAAATAAATGCAAAAAAACTAAAGGAATAACACAGAAGCGATAAAATTTATATTATTAATAATAATAATAGTAAGTTCCCACGGCCAACCACCCCTCCCCAACCCGCACGCGGAGGAGGCTTCTATTAATTTTTTACTATTATTATCATTAAAAATTTTTTTTTATTCTTTTTTTTTTATATTTTTTTAAATAAATGCAACAAAAACTAAAGGAATAACACAGAAGCGATAAAATTTATATTATTAATAATAATAATAGTAAGTTCCCACGGCCAACCACCCCTCCCCAACCCGCACGCGGAGGAGGCTTCTATTAATTTTTTACTATTATTATCATTAAAAATTTTTTTTTATTCTTTTTTTTTTATATTTTTTTAAATAAATGCAACAAAAACTAAAGGAATAACACAGAAGCGATAAAATTTATATTATTAATAATAATAATAGTAAGTTCCCACGGCCAACCACCCCTCCCCAACCCGCACGCGGAGGAGGCTTCTATTAATTTTTTACTATTATTATCATTAAAAAATTTTTTTTATTCTTTTTTTTTTATATTTTTTTAAATAAAAGCAACAAAAACTAAAGGAATAACTCAGAAGCGATAAAATTCATATTATTAATAATAATAATAGTAATTTCCCACGGCCAACCACCCCTCCCCAACCTGCACGCGGAGGAGGCTTCTATTAATTTTTTACTATTATTATCATTAATAATTTAATTTTTTTTATTTTTGTTTTATATTTTTTTTTTATTTTTGTTTTTTAATTTTTTTTTGATATTTTTTTTTTATAATAAAAGCAATCAAAAATGAACCATTAACACAAAAGCAATATTAACTAAAATACTAATGAAAAACAAAAAAGCATATGCAAAACGCAATAGAAAATCGCAATCATCGTAATGCGCGGTATAAGAACGCTTACTTTGGCCAGCTAATGGCGCGGTCCGCGTCGAAAAATTCGTTATTGACTTCGTAATCGGGCCTCAAGTTTCTTTTTCCTTTTAAAAAGAAACTTGAAAAACTCGTTGTTCGCGTAAAATTAGGTGCCGGTGCCGGAAAAGACACGGACACATAGATCTCGTCACAGTCGTTGTCATCAAGGCTGTCGAAGGCCAAACTATAATCCGCATATAATTGTGGATTGGGAACCGGCTCATCTTCAACAAAACCCGAATTGTCCAGTTCGTTTGAACAGTCACCGTCAACGCTACCAGGTGGTGTAAGCGTATAATATCGATATGGGCTATCGTCAAGATCAAGGCCCGTCAAAATATTTGGACATTGTACCTCCTCATTTACAATGCCGTTTTGAACGCAAGTTTGGTTATCTGTCATTAGAAAACCCTCTTCAAGACTAATGGTACGGGAAGAGGATCTCGAACAGTTAATCGAATACTCCTGATCAGACAATCTAACATATCGCACGCCTTTGAATGGTACAGTGCCATTCTCAAGAACAGTTAAAGCGTCCACGCTATGGAAGGAAATAAATTTACGTACGCGTCTATCAAAATAATAGCCAAACGCGCTACGACGGATAAATTTATAAATTGTATATAAAAAGGCAAATAAAATAAGTGAAATGACACTTACCAAATATATAGTTTCCATTTTCTAAAAAAAAAAAATGAAAATGATAATTACAATTTGGTAAGTTTTTATTAAAAAAATTGAGAAGAGTAAGTTTAAAAAAATTGTTATGAAAAAAAATTTTTTTGTGAATAGTCATTGAGAAATGAACAAAAAAAATTTTTTTTCAAAAAAGAAAAAAATATAAGAATAAAAAATGTAGATTTTATTTTTTTATTCTTACATAAATTTTTTTTCACTAAAATTACAAATTTTTGTTGATTTTCTTATAAAAAATAAGGAAAACAATTTTTTCCTAACAAAATATTATAAATTTAGGGGATTTTCAAAAATGAAATTTCAATCCCTTAAATTTATAATTAAAATATAAAAAAAATATTTATTTTTATCATTTATGCATTCATAAATCGCTAAAATATTTTTTTAAATTATTTTGCAATTTATAAATGCATAAAAATGCATAATTTAATCAGAGAAAATATTTACCGCACTCCTCCTTCTAAAATATTTTCTCATACTGACAAAATAAAAATTTGTTGCCCTTTATATACAATTTTCGATGTCAAAAAATTGCTGCGATCAAAAAATTTTTCTTATAAAAATTTTCATATAATTGAATACAAAAATTTTTTAATCAAACTTTACTAGTAAAAAAAATTCAATATGTCAATAAATTGGAATTATTTTCAACAAAATATTTTTTTTCATAAATGAAAATAAATTTTCATAAACATAGGATTTTGTTTAATTTTTTTTCAAAATTGCCTTTCTAATTTTAGATTTTCAACTCAAATAATATTATTTTGCAAAACAAAATGGAGAAACAATGAAGGAAAAGTACAATTTTTGTAATTTTCAATAATTGGTGCCTATATACAAGGATTTAAATTTAAATGAGCCTATGGAAAAACCAAATTTCGAATAGCTGTTATTGAAAAAATCTCAAATTTCCATTTTTCTGAAGATTTTTTGTGAACACACACGTAATTAATTAACAAGAAAAATTACAAGAACAAACTTTTATAATC